ACATATACATATATATATATACATATACATATACATATATATATATATATATATATATATATATATATAGACAAGAAAATGAAAAAGACAGATATTTTGACTTAAAGTGGCACTCCAGCAATTTAGTATTGCACTTTCCTAAAGTTGGACTCAAAAGAGAGCTTAAAAGAAGCAGCGATAACCTGACCAATGGGGAAATGCAATTAAGTACATTTACTCAAATGCTTTACTGAAGTATAATTTTGAGGTACTTGTACTTTTAATACTTCAACTCCACTTTGGAAAGCTCCCTTCAGAGCCTCACAAGACATTGAACAAAGGTTTTCACAGGCTGAAAAGTATTCTTTATGAGTGGAAACAATCATTCTAAATATTCTAAATTGGACAAAATGCAAGTAGTGCAATGAGAGACCATATTTATTAACTCAAGTTAGAAAGAGAGTTACCAGGTGCTTATGAATAGATGCATGTATAAAACAAAAGGTTTAAGAATGCTTTCGCAACCGTTTGCATAATCTGCAGGTATAAGTCATCAGTTCTAATTCAGTGTGTAATATAACTGGCACTGCATTTCCCAAAACCTGTCCAACACGCCAACTTGATGAACAAGCAGGGCGTCTCAGTTCCAAGGAAGGGATACAAAAATGTTATCAGTTGCCGGCAGCTCTTCTGTGAGCAGTTTTCCACATGATTCATCCTTAAATCAATCTCCTTTTTTTTTAATGTCCATTTAAGCTCCTGGGCAACATTTGCAGTTAAACACAGTTTGTGCCTTTTACACTATCATAACTTTAGTATTTGAGACTTCTTGATTGCAGAGTTGAAATAAAAATAGAAGCAAAACATTGGCAGCACCGAAGATTTCTCAAACTAGAATGAAAATATTTAATGAAGAAAAATGAATAAACTTTTTACATTAACTGGGTTCTTGGTTTGTGACAAAAAGGAACAAAAAAGTCCAAAGGCAAATTTATTTGTTAGACATTTAAATTATAAAGTTACACCGTGTTAAATGAACGGACAGAAGTTACAAATTGTACAAAAATAGTGGAAGCAAGATCAGTTGAATTGAGGCCACGTGTTACAGATAGTTGACGGAAAAGACTGCTGAATGATGGTTATGATAAAAAAACATTCAGGTTTTGTTACAAATCCACAACCATCCATACAACCATGCCGTACATTAAAAAAAAAAAAAAACATGTTTAAAGAATGTTAAATTATTTATATTCCATAGATAATGCAGTGACAAATACAGCAAGTAGTGTTTGTCTTTGTGGAAAGAAAGGCTGGGATGTTTCCAGTCATGATCACTTCAGTTAACATTCATACATTTTCTGGTCCCATTAACAATACAATAACACTTATTATTGGCAGTTATTTGATTGGCAGTTGAACTCCTTTGTATTTTTGAATACAAAGGAGTTCTGTTAAAGTAAGCGGTTACGTTTGTTTGATTTCTATGAAGCCTCCCTCCAGCAGCTCCAAGGAACACCTTTATTGTTTCATAACCTTCGTGAGAATCCTCAGCTAATCCTTAACTGCTGCTGCTGCCTGTCCTGGCTCCCTTGAAAAAAAAAGAGTTTGACAAATGACAAGTAGCAAATATTATAAAAAACAAATCAGGTGACATACGAGTCCATACATTCACATCTACAAAGTACGTCAATTGCCCCACACTGAAGGTCACACACCATAAGAATCCCTAGAAAAACGTAGTTTCCCCTTGACAGGTGCAGGCTGTGTTACATTACAAAAACAAAATTCATTTCAACTTTCACTGGAAGTGAAAAGGTTATCAAGAAAAATCACTGGAACCGCCTGCAAAACAGGAAACGTATACCAAGCAATGTCAGACTATCTTCACATGATAGCTTTGCCTCTGGCATCAATTGCATGCTATATGGAAAATGTTGATTTCATTTTCTTTGTTTACATTGTTTCAAAGACTCTATTTCAGCACTTAAGAGAAAGCCGTCACCACAAGATGAAGAACAATATACAGGAGAACTGAAAGGCCCATATTGGACTGCTGTACACAAACTGTAGTTTTAAGGAACTAGCACCATCTGTTGAGCAAAGAGGAAATTACTCTTTTGAATTTGTGCACCGATTGTCTAATCCAGCCTCTGATATTTACCACTGGCACAACCATTTAACACTGCAGCCTTTAATCAAACACCCTCAGCCATGATCAGTTTCTACTCACCACTCTAAACATAGAAGGATGACTTCTGTACCTGGGTCAGCTCAACACAGTTCCCCTTGATTTCCGCAGTAAAGTTCAGACCTCACGTCTAATAATCATCTGTCACAAAACACCTTTGACAGAAAATACAATATCTGAGGTTTTTTTTTTTTTTTTTTTTTTTTTTTTTTTTTTTTTTAAAATCAGAGATGGATTGGTACATAGCACATTTAGCAAAATCATGCACCACTGTTTCATCTATAAAATTGTCTCATTGTACATGTACTGCACAGCAAAGTCTGACCGTAGATAGACGACAGTAGCTGTTAAACTCGTTCCGACAACTCCTCTGGGAGTTTCGTAAACAGCCTACTTAGCACTAACGCACCTTATGAGCACTCCTCACGAGCTCAGTGAGTCACATGCATCACCGTCTCTGTGATCATTTTTAACTAAGAGACGAATATTTGTTAGCATCATCACCAACACTGTCACCATCGCCTCCATCCTGGTTCTTTTCAAATCCTCGCTGTCTTCTGAGCTTTTCCGCAAGTCCAAAGGTCAAAATGTGCAGAGTTGAGTTGATTCCCGAAACCCAAAGTTCATGTGCCTGTTTCTCATCTCCACAAGCTGAATTCAGCCCTTGAATTATCTTCAAGTGCGATATCATTTTGTTCTTCATACTTCCCAAAAGTGTTAATGCCAACCCAAATAAACTGTACTACGGTTTAGTGTTTTTTCATTAGGAACAGATTAAAGAGATTTGTCAATGCCCAGCAGTCACATCAATCCAGAGGAGACTCTCGTTTTTGGATTAAAGGCAATCTCTCTAATAATCCGATACAACCATTTGATGACAACCACAATCCAGATACTTTCCTCAAGAAATAAATTCCGATGTGTAAGTGGCTGGCAGTGGTGGCACATCCCTTATGTCCAGATCTCAGTTGGGACCATGGACTCCTTCGTTCCAACAGAGGGCATGAGGTTCTGCTCAGACAGGAAGTCCAGAGGAAACTGGACCAGGAAGCCTCTGATTTTGCGCAGCTCCTCCTGAGCGCGGGCCAGGTCGGTCTGGGCCAAACCCGGTTTGGACTGGTACTGCTCCAGCTCGGACATGTTCCTCACCAGGGACGAAGGAAGGCAACGAAATACCTGCAGAAAAACACACATATGTAGAGTTTAAAATACTGCTGCACTAGTTTCTATGGCTCTTGGGTTGGCAATGTTAATCAGTTGGCCGGGCCGTCCGAAGGTGAAATATCTCATCAACTATTGGACAGACTTCCGTGATATTTGGCACAAATATTCAAGGTTTCCTGAGGACAAATCCAAATGACTTTAGTGGTGGCAAACAGAGTCTGAAATGTCCCAAAATGGCTGCTGTACAGAGAATACATCTTTTTTTTTCCTCCACTAGAGGCAAGTATTTATAGCAAAGTCAAATTCCTTCCATTTAGTTTTTAGTCTTGTTAAAGTTCTGAGCACAGGACGGCATTATTGTAATTGAATCCACTAGAATGATCACCATTCATACATTTTACCTGATTCTTCAGTGAATCCTTAAGTTTGCTTTTTCAAATTCACCCGCTGACTCTTTATTTATATATTCTCTTAAACAGATAACATCTGCAAATTGTGGAACAGTTACACTATCTGTCAAAAACACTATCTGGCACATGTGTTCCTCAGCCTTATGAATTCATTTTTGTTCATTATGTACCTTCTCATAGATGGTGGCGTTGCGGCCAGCGGTGGTCATCCACACCTCCTTATAGAAGCGATCACTGATGGGGTCAGACATGTCTATACTGGTGTCAGTGTGACCTCCGAGAACGGTCCTGTTCAGAAAGAGAAGGTAAATGAGAACTATAAGACAATCATTATGAAAACTATTTTCTCTCTCTCTTCCACTCTAATTCACACACACACACACACACACACACACACACACACACACACACACACCGGAAGCATTCGAGGCGGAGCTGAAGAGCGTAGGGTCCAGCTTCGTACTCCTGTCCGTCCATCACTCCAGCGACCTTTTCGGAGTCCTCGACAATCACCGCCACCTCGCTGTCGCGTTTACCCAGCATGCTTCTGTCGTTGATGTTAGCAGAACCTGAAACAAACATGCAGAACAAAGGATGGAACTCAATTCCTGATACACAGACTTCGACAAGAACATTTTCATCATAGCAATAAATCTTTCTAATACTTAAATTAAACGAAATAAAGAAAAAAACAACGTACGCCATCATCATTAAGGACTCAGCAGGGAAGCCCACAAATTCATCAAGTCAAGAGGACATCAACTTATAACAGCATTTACCTACCACAGCTTAGCAAAGAACAAACCAACAGACTGGATTCAACAATAACTCAGGATGAACTTTCTACTGCCCTCAATCTTATGCCGAAAAACAAAGAACCAGGACCTGATGGCTTCCCTCCCGAGTCCTATGAACACTTCTGGGTCATTCTAGTTCCGCTTTTCAACAAAATGTTAACTGAAATAAAACGAAATTCATGTTTCCCAGCAAACATGAACACAGCAACTATTTCACTACTCCTTAAACCAAACAATGACCCAACTTCACCATCAACTCCATCGATAATTCACCGAGATCAAACCAGCTTTATCAAAGGTAGACATGTATCACGCACTTGAAAAGCTTAATGATAGATTATATTTCAATGGAAAATCTAACCTCCTTCATCATATACACTACAACAGAACTTTTTCTCTTTTTTTTTAATATATTGAAGTATTTCAAAACCAAAAACTCCCCACAACCACAACCTCCCCTGTGGTGCTCTGTCCCATCCCTGGCAGCTCACACACACACACACACACACACACACACACACACACCGGTACACCATACACTGACTACATGAAGTCAGCCTATATTCACTGTTCTTGTCATCCTCTTGTTGTTCTGTTTATGTATTGTCTCGTCTTTCAATAAAACATTTTTTTTTAAAGAACAAAGGATGCATTCATCTGACTCAGTCGTGGCATTCTAAATCATGCTATAATTAACAATCATTTTATTTTATTTTCTAAATGAATAACTTTATGCCTTCATTGGACCTATCTTATTAAGATTGTCTGTATATTAATAAATACAAATATCGACACAAGTTACAGTAATGCCAATAAGAAAGCAGAGTATTTAAGAACTATTTCCAGCCTTTAGATTTGTTGATTGTTGTTTTGTCTCAGTCTTGTGAGAGAGTGGGCTGTGCCTTATTAGCCAGCAGAGGGCGCAGCAGAGCTATGTTGCAGAAGTCACCACATATTAAAACAGTTTTGGGCATTTGTTAGCTGCACAGATGGTGAAGGACACAATTTTATCACATCTCCATGGTGCCAAGGCAGAGAGGCTAGTTGCCTCATATAGTAGTTGGTGAGAACGGCATAAGAAAAGAGTGACAGAACACGCGAGAGAGCAGATGAGAGACTGACCGATGATGACCGTGTTGTCGTCAGCGATGAGCATCTTGCTGTGCACGTAGATGAGCTCCGTGACCAGGCGTCCCTCCAGCTCAGTGTGAGTCCGCAATCCGGCAAAGGAGATGTAGTTCATCCAATGGTCGTCCACTGGGAGAGGAGAGGAGAGGAGAGGAGAGGAGAGGAGAGGAAGTACACCAAAACCAGAGTAGAGGATGAAATATGGAATGCACTTTTCCAACTCTAACCTTAAAATTAGGGATAAAAACGAATATTTTAATTAATTCTTGTACTTACTCTCCTTTTTCAGCTGGGAGATGATCGAGTACTCTCCTCTGATCATGGTTCTGAGGAGGCAGGAGATTCAAACTCATCAAAACATATATAAATATTGAACATCCTAGACTCAGATCAACTTGAAAGAAATATAACACAATAGAATACTCATGACTCTCTCATGACTCTTCCCCTCACTATTCCTCTGTCAATATTAAAACTTTGGTCGGTGGCATGCGGTCCACCTGTAGTTGAAGTGCATGACAGCCTGAATGGCGTTCCCTCCTCCTGTGGTGATGTCCCCCTCGAAGCCAGGAAGCAGCGGGGTGACCACATACACGCGGTACTTCTTACCCTCCCTGTGAGCAAACACATCAGTTACAAAAAGCCACAGACTACCAGCGTGAAGCTGTAAGAAGCAGAAGGAGAAGAAGAGAGGAGACTAATCTTGTATACATATACAGTACGTACGACTTCCTTTCTATAGTCACAAGTACTACTGTGGTTAAACAGCCAAATGTCTAAAAAAAAAAGAAAAAAAAAGGGAAGTACTTGTAAGCTCTGAGGATCCTTTCAATGATGGCGTCTCCGATCTTGTTGTAGACCGTCCTGTTGTCGGCACAACTGATGAAGAACTGGTTCTGATGGGAAAGGAGATAAAAGACGGACACCAACCCAAAGAGAGACAATTATAAACTGTTCTTTTTGTTTCTACATGTACAACTTTATGTTTCAGAGTAGAGGAGCATGTCATTTCCACAATGACATCGTTACCGAGTACATTGAAAACATCACTGATGCAAAATTACTGACACAAACCTCTGACGAATTCAGCTCAATTCTCAAAACAGTTTCACATCTCAGCATTTGTCTTTTAATTAAAGTCATATCCTGGCCTCACTGCTGGTTTACCTCTATGTAGATGTAGTGTTTGCTCTTAGCGATGACCTGGATGTAGGCATTGTGGATGGACTCCTCGTGGTACTTTATACCTGCCGACCAATCTGCTGCCGACCGCAACACCTTGCACACACACAGAATAGGATTATAATAGCAGCAACTCCAAAAAATATGCAGGTCTTGCAGCAATCAAATTGCAGGGTTAAATGTACCTACATCGTAAAAATATAATAACGACTGACAGTCACTGATCATTACATGGTAACATCAAATGTTTTTTGGGGGGCTTTTTGATGATTAAGCTGTGAACTGCAACGTGGAGTTATTTTGCGTAATACTACTTAGAGCAATAAACAAATAATGGTAAATAATTCCTGTGAGGACATTAAATTCAATGGTTATAATAATAATAATAATAATAATAATAATAATAACAGAAAAATGGTGTGTATTATCAGTGGTTATACAGATGGAGAAGTTGTACACAGTGTTCACAGAGGTGTCAGTTTAAAAACAGACACAATTTGAACAAAACCACACTGTCTTTTAAACATGATGGGGTTGTGATGGGATCTTCGTGCACTTCTTATTTTAGCCAAGCATTTCACTCAGAGGTTGGTTCCCTTCGGCTAAAAACCTTTTGAGTGTCAATGGCAAGCGCAAACCTTTGTAGTAATATAACGTTTGGGCCCATGGAGAGTTTTTTAATGCTCTCTCTCTTTTATCTTTCTCCAGCAGTGCTTGCAGATCGGGATGTGGAAAACATTGTGGCAAAGTGGGAGTTTATACTGTTCTTGTGTTTACTCTGTAATTTTCTACCAGTGGTTCTTTTTAGGTTCGGTGAACGGTTGGTTTTCGCTCCACTTTGTAATTTTGTATAATTATAAAGAAAGAAAAAAATAAACATTTCCCACAGTATGTTCTTATGAGCACAGTTAAAAGTAAAATGGTACTTAGTGTGTTCAGGTCTCTTACCTGCACTTTGGCATTGACACAGTCAGGAACTTGGTATCTGAGGTCATTGGCACTGGAGTGAGACTTGGGCAGCAGGAATGGATAAGACAGAGAGCGATACTTTGGCTTCATGATCTGTAGGGGAGAAGGTTGGAGAGTTTGGGCAGAGGGGGGGGGGGGAAAATATGGGGTTAGAGGAGGAATGGAAAATAATAGAAACAGGAAAACGCTACTGATGCCATGGAAAGCATGAGTGTGAGGATGAAAGTATTTTTCCACTGTCCCAGCCAGACATTTCACCAGGTTAGTGTTTATTGTTAACTTTTATTTTTTTCAGTCAACAAATCATGATTTTCCTCAGTTAAAATACATTCAAATCTAGTTTCTATTATTCCTACTAAGATTTAGCATTAAAATAGTCAAAACAAGCAAACAAAGTATTAGGCTATAAGTCTAAAAAGTGGTTAAATTCTGTCAACAAAGAAGCTTCAATTGAAAAAAATTCTAGTCAAACAAGTTTAGCTTTAAAATAATCCTGTTCTACATCCCTGTGTGTGTTTGGTAATGAACACAGTGGCTGTGTGTTGCAGTACCTTGGTGAAGTTCCAGCGCTGGATGAAGTGCCTGGCCACATCGCGCGCAGCTCTGCCATGAACCACTGAGGCAATGTCATGCCAAGGCATTCTAGGAGTGGTGTACCGGTCGATGAAGTCTGCAGAGAGTGGAGGAAACACAATGAAGACAGGGAAAGAAGTGTGAGAAGGAGAAAGGACATTACGGTACGACAGAATAAAAAAAGAAAAAAAAAAGCCAGGGACCAAGGAGAGAAGATGGGAGAAAGGAGTACAGTGGAGTCATAGAGTTTGGGAGAATACAAAGTCTTGTTTGCCATTTTAGTTTTCCAGATGACTATTTGTTTCCATCAAACTGATATAACAGGAAAAATATAGCAATAGCAAGTAGTGCTTTGTATACTGAGAGGAGTTTTAGACCTAGAAAGGAGGGAAACTATTCAGAGTAAGACCAAACTAATAGTGAGTGTGTGTGTGCATGTGCGTGTGTGTGTGTGTGTGTGTGAACCAGACCATCAAAAGGTTTCTCCAACTGGATCCAGTCCCTGTAGACAAAGTTGCAGTAGTCCTTTCCATGCCAGAAGCGTGTGTTTCCCTGTAACTCTCCAACACCTGTCTTGAGGCTTTGCACTGAACCACTCCCTACACACACACACCCACACACACACACACACACACACACACACACAGAGAATGAAAACATTATGGTAAAAGGACTGCATGTACAGTACAATGTTCTTCACAATGTGCCTCTCATTCACCCAATTCATATTCCAACACTCTCTCCCTCTCATTCTCGCATATTCTCACTCTTTCCACTCATACAAACACACCTGAGCTGTCTACGCTGCTGACGCTGTCTGCGTGCTGCAGAGCGTGTTTGTGCAGGTGTCTGTACAGACTGAAGCGAGCCTTCCGGCTGCGTCCGATCCCCTTCAGCTTGGGCAAGTCCACCGAATCGCTGGGCGGCGTCCCTCGTCCGTTGCTCTTGGAGACGCCATCGACGGAGGTCACGCCCTTACTGGACGGAGTGCTAGCGGCCTTGGAGAGTGAAAACAACAGTGGACGTACACTCAGCTGCTGGTTGATTAGCTACACGTTAGCGAGTACAACTCCTTAGAATAAATCCTGTGACGTTCAGTTTTTGTTTTGAAAAGGTGTTAATTCAACTTCATGGTCATTTTGGAGGGTTCGGTTTGTGGCACTTTTGAATTGTATCGAGTTATAGTGAGAGTTGTCTCTATTACGTAGTCTACCTTTATTAATATAAATGACATAGGGTAGGTCAACCTCTTCACCCCCCCCCACCCGTTCAACTGTGCGAGTTTCAGTGAAATAGATTTCTCCATTTCCTCTCCTCCTTCTCATATTTGAACCATTTGTCAGGAGCTTAGAGCCAGATTTATTGCCTTTATAACTCCAAACAGTAGACAGGACGTTTTCATTTCATTTGATTGTGTGTCTGACCTGCTCAAGGGCCACAGAGCGTGTCACGCTGCCGACATCCGTCAGCCGATGCTCTCTGTCGTCCCAGCGACCGTATGCCAGGTCTATCCCGCCCACGAAGGCCACCGATTGGTCAATGACAACGATCTTCTCGTGATGCGCCCACAGATAGACGGAGGAGGAGACGTGGTCTGGATGACGCATCACCTTAGACAAAATCATATGTACACAGATTTAGATAAAATGTACATAGAAGGCATAATATGTAATTGCGTGTTTCCAATAGTTTTGCCAAACTGCATCCTTTAATTCCTTTTTTGAATTCATCCTTTCACTACCCACAATCCTTTAGTTACCTTGATGTTGGGGTGCATGCGTGAGAGGGTCCTCTTGCTGTAGCCCGAGTTGATGCCCAGGGCAAGCTCCACCTCCTTGTACAACATCACAAAGATACGCACTCCCTGTTGCTGTAGAGAGACAGAAAGGAAGAACAATGTTAAGAGCACATTTCTGGCCATTTAACAAATTTGACTGTTCATATTTCTTTGGTTGCAATACATTATGAATCCTTTCTGAAGAGCAAAACACTGATTATTGTTACTTAATGTAATTGAGTACAGAGTCTATAGTGCTCAATACTTAGGTTATAGGTCATTACTCTCCCATAACGTTGGTAAACTAACGCCTACTTACTGCTTTGCGTTTCAGGGTGCAGTCTAGCCTCCACCTGTTTCCCTCCACCACAGGTCTCTTCAGGAAGATCTCTGGACTCAGCCTGGTGAAAAAGAAACAGACACCAAGATAAAGAAACTCAATGCATCACCATTACTTGATAAACAATAAAAATAATGGAGAAATGCATCTTTATCTTCACTCTTTAGAGCTTCCACACATTTAATAGATGAGGTCCCATGAGTAATTCACACTGCCATCCGGAGCTTACACGTCTGCAATGCCATTCGCTCACATTATACAGGCTGACACCTCATTGGTTAAGACCATAAGCCCAGTGGAACGCAGGGATTTCAGTCACGTCAAACATTTGGCTCCGAGGGACCATAATTATATTTGAAATGACACTGCCAGAAGTATTAAAACTGTGTCAGTAGTGACAAACAAAAAAACACCATAAAACACTATTAAAGGAAGAAGGAAAGGAAAAGTCTCGATACTCTGAAAAGTGAGCCAGTTATATATATTAGATTTGATTTGCATCTTTGCAACACTGTTTTCAAGGTTACTGTTCCCTCAGGTGTGACTGTCAGGTTTTTACATGAGATGAATTAGGTTTATCTTTGTTCTGAATAGAAATTCTAGTGTTCTTTTATTCAAACACATGTTCCACCCTACACTTGGTCTTCGTAGAGCAGGGTGGCTTAACAGCTATATCTCAAGGTCCTCTGACGGGTCACATAACCCCGACAGTAAATTAAGAAGAGACAGTGAGAGACAAAGGGGGTGTGGCGGAAAAGTAAACAGATACTATGTGGAGACAATCTTTCGGTCAGTGTATTTCTATTCTGGGTGTGTGGATAAGGCTGTAATTAGAGGCAGTACCATTGCATTGGATATCAGAGAGCCAGGACTTGTGGGTAATACATAATGTAATATGTAACAGCATGTACTGCTCTAACTGGGTATCAGAGTGTCAAGTTGTCATTCTTTGGAAGGAATCTGGCGATGGCCTGCGTGTTTAGCAATACTAAAACAAGCCTCTATACTATATTCTATTTTTTTTACTACATCATCTGCATACTGTATGATTGCAGATTATTACAGATGCAAAGAGTAAAATATTTCCGATGCATACAAGATTCTGCAATATGACATATCTTGAAGCCACAATGACAACCTTCCCTTGCTCTTTTAAGATTCCTTTGAGTGACATTATTGCCAAGAACAGAGAGAGATTGAGATACAACAACAGAGCTTCCAAGCCAAATACACAGCAATGCACCAAGAAGGGCAACGAAGAAGAGTGACAGCAAGTGAACATGGATGTAAACAATGCAGGGCTTCAACCGCTAGAAAAAAGGTTTTATGAGGACAGAATTGTACTCGACATGTTTGACCTGGAGGATGAACGTAATGTGTTTTCAGATCAGTCAGGAATTTACAATGAAGTGCAATGGAGATATTTTGTTCACTGTTTGGAACAGAACTTTAAATAAATGGAAAGATAGTTTTCCCCACTAACAGCCTAATGAATGGTTACATGCAACACTTCAGCAAGATGAACCTTATCAAGCAATCATTTATTTTCTTCAGCCCTTTTTTGGGCCAAACTCTCTGTCAAATTTGGCTTCTACACTTTTCTTCTCTGCTTTGGTGGCAGAAGGCGCTTCATTAAGTATCTGACTTATTCCCAATAGTTTGTTAATCCTGTGACAAAAAATGTAAAAAAAAGTCCCTATAAAATAAAAGCATAATCGCTTCATGAATAATTTATTGACCATGTGTTCCACAATTATTCTTGACTAGTGAACATGCTGGAAATGTTGAGGCTGAGTTAAAGCAGGACGGATGCAACCCACTGAGCTGTGTATTTCTGGGTTCTCACGCTTCAGTGCTGACAGCAGACACATCCCAACCAAAATCTTTGACACGATGCATTTTCACACAAACGACACATTGACTCACCACCAGTCGGTGATAAAGATTTCCTCTTTAGCCTCCTCCAAAGCATCAGCCACATCCTCCATGTACGTCTTTCCGTTCACATACCTGTAAAGAAGCGTTACAGATTCTCTGAGTAACTTGTGAAAACAGACGTAACTCACATGTGCTTGTGTTGACACGTACAAACATAAAACACACAAGCTTCCCCCAACTTTCTTAACATTTCAAGCTTCAGGCAACACCCATATCTGTGTCATCACGACATAACTGTTTTTCAAAAACACCCCCCCCCCCCCATTAGCTCACAGAACTGCAGCACGTTTTTCCCTTCCTTAAGTACAAAGACGATGCAATGACCGTATCACACAGATGATTCAATATCACAGAATCTGCCAGCTGAGGGGGAGAGAATGCAAAAAAAAAAGACCTGAAAGATGGCAAAGCAGCCAGAAAAGAGAGTGACTGCGTAGTCCTCTCCAACATTTCCATAGTTACCAGTGAAAGAATAACAGAGGAAGGCAGAGAAGAAATAAATAAGGGCAACAATTATTATAAACACTTACTTCATTGTGTGCTATTATTACTGGTCTAAAGCATCTCCAATGAGCAACTCTTTGAACATGATTAAATCCACCAAACTGAATCGTTTGAACATATTTGTTTGACACTACATTGGTCTGTTCGAAATAAACAAACGTGGACGTTTGAAACTAATGCAAAACATTACTTTCCTATTGTTTATTCTGTGTCGTGTACTCGGCAACATAAGTTCCACCAGTTGCGCTCTGTTCCCAGTGCAGTTACCATTTGGCGGCGATGTTTTCCTGCTCCTGTGCAAACGAGCCGCAGCGGTGATCTCGGAGGAAAGCCTTCGCGTTGATCCTCACGAAGCTCTCGATGCTCTGACCCCACCAGCGCGCGTGTCTGTAGCTGATGCACTTAAACACGAGGGTCCTGCCGGGATGATGAGCACAGATACAGAGTGTGTCGTCATTTTATTGGCTCTGGCATGAACCACATTAGTGCCGATTGGAATATCAGATTTTGGGGTTTAATTTTGCCCTCAGCTTTACAAACTGCTGATCAGTTTGTTATATACATTCTTTGATTTTATCTCACAGCGTGAGAGTCTAAGGGAGGATTCTCTTTTTAACTGGTGTTGAACTAACAGTAGCCTCAGAATACACTGTGAGGGTATACTCCAAATACATTGGGTATCAGCGTGATAACTCTGCTACAAAAATCAAATGTTCAACTGCGCACACACACACACGTATGAATCTAACCTGGAGAGGCTGTCAATCCGGACTCCGTGTTTGGTCTCTGTGTCTTTGGAGTCCATCTTGATGCTGAACTCTTTATCCAACAGGAGGACAAAGGAGATGGCCCCTGAGTCTGGCTTCATGTACAGCAGGCACGAGTCCTTCACCACCAGCCAGCTACAAAACACACACAGTCGTCATTATCATCATCATTATCATCATTATGATTTGCGTGTCTACGTGAAGGTCTGCAGATCTTTGATTTATTGCTGTGAAACTATTCTTATGTTTCTTGATTCAAGGAAAAGGGTGTAGGAAGAAAACCATCATGGGGATGTAGGTGGATGGGCCGCGTGTTTCAAACGTGTGGGATTCTTTTTGTGCCGTCTTCAGAAAAACAACAATCAAAACTGCTCACGTAATAATGTGGCTGTGATAAAGAGAAATAAACAGACAAACAGATGAAGAGAGAGGCAAGCATGTGCCAATGCAGCTGGGCTGAAGATGCTACTAAAATGTTGTGAGCAAACTACAAGAAAAGAGAAAACAATTATCATAATGCAATAGCCAAAACTAACACTTAAGATATTATCATTATTATGTTTTGAGATATGAGAATGAGTGGTCACTGTGTATGGAATGTATATATATGTATGTATGTATGTATGTATGTATGTATGTATGTATGTATGTATATATATATATATATATATATACACACATACATACACACACACATAGTATATATATATGAAAACATTCCATACTCAGATTTCGTGCAGGAAGCTGTCAGAGTGCAAGTGTTAAAACACTGACTAAGCATCTTTATGACCCTTTTTCGAAATTATTGAGCCAGAAATCTCCAATTCATAGCCGTTGTTCAACATTTTATTTCGAAAAACATGTCGAAAATAGTTTATTTTCTTATTCATGGCGTAATACAAAGAGATAGCTACAATTGCAATGTGAAAATGTAAAAACCTCTGACTTTAATATGTCATCCAAATGAAACAAGAACTTTGAACCTGGTTTTATCCAATGTTCAGATTTTTTGTTTTGGAAATGTATGCACAATAGCACAAATTTGATAAGATAATGCCTCATTAGCAAATCTAAATATATATTTCCAGAAAACATAACTTTAATTTGAGTGCTTATAGTATATAATATAGACAGCAGAAAAAGGCAAAAGGTAAAGAGAGACAGAGGACACATGTGGACAGAGGGAACCACACACCGTTTAGACCAGCGGTAGCAGGCCTGGCTGTGACCACAGCAGTTCATGCCAGGGATACGATGTCCTCCTGAGCGCTTATAGATCATCCCTTCTCTGGAAGAGAGACAAAACAGTTGAGTATCTTCTAAAAGAAGTACTATGGGATGTAAGGAGAGTGTGAAACTAAATAGGAGACTAGGATGTTTGAAATGAGGACACTTAACGAAAGTGACATCCTGAGCTTCTAGATTTCAGCTGAAGCGCTTCACTCTGCTGTGAACTGTTGAGTGCATATTTTACCCGACACCTGAACTGTTTTTACAGATGGTCGGGATTGAAAGAAGAGAAAACACTCACAGTCCTTTGGGCCCCAAGTCATGAATGAAAGACAGCTGGCTGATGTCGATGAACTCCATCTGAGAATAGACAGGAAGAGACAACAAGTGGCTGCACACAGTGAAAATTAACAAAACACAGATACATACTGTACAGCACTCATCGACATGTGAGTGACTGAGCAGCCAGCTGTTAACACATACCATCCAGCTGGAGGCAATGTCACCCAGCCTAAGTTATCTCAACAATATATCTCGGATATTATCTTCTAATGCGTCAGTATGAGGCTTAATATGAATATGGCAGCACATAATAGGCAGAATGCTAAACCTAGCATGAGTCTGTTTTAAAGCCTATCTACCATAAAGGTGATGTAGGTACGGGTAAAGTGTAGTAAGAGAGAGAACACACTGTATGTTATAGGCCCACATAGTAAAAGGCGCTGATAATAAGTCACTTAAAAACGGCTGCATCTATCTCAACACTCAATGTTGCCCCATAAGGTTAGAGCTTAGCAAAATGCTGAAAAACACTGTTAATCATATTCATACAGCATATTTACTTGTACTTTGCATACCAAGTATACCATTAGTATACATTTGAACTGGCAGTCATTATGTGGTTAAGTGACGGTTTGCAGAGCTTAGTATGATTACTCACAGTATGGTGATATTTGCGGTACATGGCCATCCTCAGCAGCTTGTTCAAATAGTCTTCTAATTGTCTCTGTAGAAACACATACACTATATTTTGGCCACTGTGAGTATTTTATTACAAAATCCAAGCATAGAAACACTTACATGCACACACACACACAGTCAAGAGAGGGTTTTAGAGGATACATGTGCTGGCAAGTAAGTGTCATGGCAACAAGCGTGTGCCAGGAGAGCTTCTTGCCATGAAGGTTAAGATATGACAAGTAGGAATTTTCCAACCAGAAATAAAAAAAAAAAAAAAAACAGGCACAAAAGGCTGCAGGCAGTGTTGAGACGTACCCTCCTGCTGGAGACCTGCTCATCACGCACCAGCTCGTCCCCTCCTCCCCTCGGCAGGGAGGGCATCTCCCTCACCTCGCTCTTCCTCACCGTCCGTCTCCTCACTGTGTGGCTGTGTGGAAACAGAAAAGGAGGGAATTGAAATGTTAAATTCAAAAGTCCAAGCTATTCAAGGATGCTTGAAGGAGGAGAACCATGGTGTTTCCAAACGTTGTCCTTAAAGGTTTGAGGAGGACCATTAAGCTCAAACAACCTTTGGGCAATGGCTGTTTCTGTTCCACCACTAATCTAAGCTTAAAACAATATCAGTCACTGCTCCGAAATTAAAACATTTTTCAGTGTTCTTTCCTGCCAGCAGGTGTTTAGACAGTCAAATGTAAAAGCCTGAATATATTGACAGGTTACAGGTTGACTCACTGTTGTGTTACATCAACCAGGAACACAGAACGGTAAGATTTTATTTAACTGAAAACAGGCAAGAGGCAAAAAAAAAAAACCCCACCAAAGCAATTGTCAAAATCCAACATGCACCCTTTCCTATAACAACATTAAGTCAAGATCACGGACAGGGAGAGAGAAAGAGGCAGGAGGGCTAAAGTAAATCCTAACTTCCAAGGGCAACATTCCTTTGCGTTCAAGTGTATAACGTACATCACAAGAGAGAGAAGAAGAGAGAGAGAAACGGAGAGAGGGGGGCGGAAGAAGAGGAACAAAAAGGAAGGGAGTTGTCATTAATGGGCTACATGAAGCTAAAGCCAGGAGGCAATTAGCTTAGCTTAACATAAAGAGCAGAAGCAGGGGGAAACAGCTAGTCTGGCTCTGTCCAAAGTTTAAAAAGGCTAACCACCACTTGAATTTGACCGATTAATGAGTTGTGTCTCGTTTGTTTGGTCCAAACACAAACAGAAATGTCAATTTGACATGTTGTGGAATTAGGGGCAGAGCCAGAACCATTTCTGAGTGCAGCGACTTCCTGGAGTCATCCTGTTTGCCTGGCAACTGTTGCTGCGATAAAGCAATGCTGGTAGCATGGGTAGAACAGGAAAAGAAACATGTTACAACAAAACATTAACGAAAGAGATTTAAGGCGTTAACTGGTGAAATTTGCAGTAGACGTGTGAGCAGAGTTCTTTAACTTGGGACAGAGCCAGGCTAGGCGTTTCCCCTTGTTTCCACTATTTATGCTAAGCTAAGCTAACCGTCTCCTGGTTCTAGCTTCAAATTTTGTATACAAGAGTGGTATTGATCTCATCTAACTGGCAAGAAAGCGACTCATTGCATTTCGCTAAATGTAACACTATGTGTGAATATGTGAATCATTGTCAGCGCGTCTATGCACCTGTGTGTGTGTGTGTGTGTTTGTGCACTCGTGTGTGTACTTGTTATTATTCCCGCTGTTCAAAAAGTAACATTGTGGAAACTCACACCAGGTGGTTCTCCACAAGGTCAATGCAATGTGACAATGTGGGTATACATCTAAACTTGTCCGTTAGTGTTCACCTATATGTGCAAGTCTGTGTGGGAGTGTAAATCTGTGTGTGTAGGCACCAACCTGCGTGACGGCAGCGGTATCCTCATTAAGGTCTTGTACGTCCTCAGCTCTCTGTGCAGCTCCATGAAATGTTTCTCCTTCCTCTTAACCACCCAGGTAAACTCTCCGTGCTTCAGCTCAATCTTAAACACTGCCGGCAGAGACTAAACACACACACATTGGGAGAGAGAGATGATGAGTTTAAGATATTTGTTATTATATAATACATAAAGAATTCAAGCAACTTATTATAGGGATTTATAACGACATTAAAGAGATTTATCTGATGCTTTGATCCAGACCAACTCACAATTAACATCCTATCCCTATGTTTTCCAAAATAAAAAAAATAATAATTTTTATTCAGTATTGCCGTAGACATTGTGTGCAGTACCTTGTTGACACTCCTTTGGTGCGACAGGTTGAAGCGGTCCTGTGCGGTGGTGAATCTCTCCACCTCTAGTATCCGGGCAGTAATGGGCACAGTGGGAAGGTAGACCTTAGCGTTGGCCTCCTTGAAGCCCACTGTGGCATACACCGCTGAAAATGGGATACGACAGTCCCCTAGGAGGAAGAGAGAGGCGGGTGGTTAGCAAGTTGCTGTTTGTGAATGTAGGAGTTGTTCAGGCTTCTTTAGGAGCGAGTAGGATGCCTCACTGAAAACTCGGCCTTTGTTCGAGATTTGTACTTTGCAGTGTTGGGTCAAATGTTTTGGTTTATGCTCCGGTAAAGTTTGTGAGATCTAAATTATGTAAAAGGAAAAATCCACCCTCATACTCACTGTTAGATACCAGTTTGAAGACTTACCAGTTGAAGTATTTCCTTTTTTGTCAATTTTCCACACTGACATTTGAGCCTTTTGCCCTTTTCTGGTGTTCCTGCATTTCCCAGGGGCAATCACATACTCAATACTTTGGGCTTATTTGGTCATATGAACCTTACTCACGACTGATGAATCTGGTTCATAGTCTGCCAAGTTAAATTATCTGGAAGTTTAATCTCTTGAGGATTCTGCATAATCTGGAATAACTGACCTTTGAATTGTTATAATATTTCCTTTTAGGTATCGTCTCATTCTTGGGTGAAACGATGAAATCACAGACAGGAAATATGCAAACAAACACACACCTAAGTAGTTTCCATCGTAGTCGTTCTCCTCTGCTTCCCCCATGTCCAGCTCTCTGGTATCCAGGCTCTCCACCAGGTCTGCCATCGTGATGCCGTCGTGTGTGTCCGCTGTGGCGTCAGGCACCTCAGAGTTCACCAGGTTGAGGCTACTGGTAGTTGGTGGCGCTTTACCCAGCATGCTCAGCAGTTAGCCCCCTGAGCAGGGCGAGCCTAGAGGAAAGGAGAGATTAAAATGAAAATAAAAACATCATAAACTATGGAATAAATGGAAATTTGAGAGTGCGTGGGTTTGTATGACTTTGTCCATGTCGTAACTGCTTCCTGAGTGCATACATTACCACCAAGAGTCATTTGATTGTTAACCTTCCGTTATATACTGACCATGTCTTGTTACACAACACCCTCATGTTCTATTATAAGAGTCCCATGAGGACAACAAATATGAAGGCACTTTAAGAAACAGATACTATACATGGAGACACAGCTGGAGCAGGTTTAAAAGGTCACATGTGGCAACCACTCCAGACGCAGCAACACTGGGATGAAAATACTCACAGAATCTCCCGCAAGTGTTCAACTGGCTTGATCTAGTTGCTGCATTCATTGCATGCGATCCATTCGAATGCTCATAAAACTGTTTGGTAGCCTGTTGGGAAGTATCTGCACGTGTTGCGTTTCTCCACCTGTCTGTATGTTCTTACCGTGTCCTCATAGACAAACCACTGTGTTGATCATCTTCCCTGGAGTCATACATCTTTTTTGGATTGAAATCGATTCAGTCTGTGACTTCAGAGACATTCCTCAGAACTGACCGAGTCCAATCCAGTTAATGACTAACTTCAGTTGTTCATTACTGACACACAATGAATGATCAGCTCATAACCGCTTCCCTATTCAGATCATATTTATGTAATGACATGTGTTTAATGAGTGCACTAACTACATTTAAGTTACTTCCTCATAGAAGATACTGGGTAGAGGTTCAGTCCATTGCTGCTGCTCAATATTAATGGCTTAATATTTGAGACAAATGTTCTGATTCCCATGTACGTATTACACACTGCTCTTTGCATCAGTTTCATAAAATAAATCCAAAATTCAAGTCAAAAATCAGTCAATGCTCGATTGGAGAGTAAATGAAAAAGACGAAGAGCATTTTTGGCATTTAAAGATTTTTATGCAACTGACACAAAATCTTTGGAAGTTTGAGACCCAGTTCAAGACTTATGATAATAAAAGCCAATATTATAATACTTTGGCACTAATATCAAATACAGCTTATTTATTTAGTGATCTATCAGTGACATATATCCAAAATGTCAATAACTTTTAAATATCATATATTCTCTCATATGGGCTCTTTGGACCTAAAGGACAAGGACTCTTTTCACATTTGAACTGACATGTTCTTTATTTCAATGTACATTGTTTTGTTAAGTTTTAACACGTACATATTCAGCATTATTTATAAGATGAAATAAAATAAAATAAAGTTAATTTTCAGAAGAAAATAAAAATGACATCATCCACATTATAATACACTAGGTTAGAACTATTACAAATAAAGGGAAGGTGTTGCGGGTAAACCACAGGATTGCTAAATATTATATTAAACGCATAAGATGACCACACACACACACACACACACACACACACGCAGCTTCACCAGAGCAGCGGTGGCCCACTGTAGGTGTGCTGCAGACCAGCACCTTATGAGGAGAAAAAAGTCCCATCTACTCCACTGCTACATCTCTTTCTTTGACTGAAGTTCCATTGCGACAGCCTCACCAAATATTACTTTATAGTTGGTGGTATTTTGTCAACACCGTGCCTGGGAATTAATAACTGCACCCACAAGAGTGGGCGTTTGTGACGAAACAATGTTGGTGATGCAAATTGATGCGCAAGACACCACACTGAATACGACCTGACGAAGCTTGGCATCACAAACACACACACACACACGCCTCCAGTCAGCCCATGTGAATTTTTTAAAACAGACATGCACAAACACGCAGCATACAGTAAACATGCAACTAGCTATATGCTCATACATGACTCAAAGATTAAACACAGCATACTACACGTACAGTCAACATACACATGTCATAGGGTGACTTATGGACAATAGTTGCAGCACATGTTGGGCTTCATATTGTCATGTTTGTGGATGTTGAGCAAACAAATATGGACAAAGTGTTCTCTGTTTTCGTTCCACTATTACCTCACCAATATGCAAAGCTGAAAACACAGGTTTCATTTTGTATAATAAACCCTTCTTCAGATGCCAAAAAAACCTGTTAGACTGGTTAGGAAAATGAGCTTGCTACACTACAGCTCCAACTTCAGTTTAGTCCCAGAAGCAGTCATCTGTAAAATACTGCTATACAGAGACAGGATACAGCAGGGTGTGGAGAATAACAGCGCTGCAGCTACAATACTACAATACATCGTACATCTTTCAAGTGCAGGATACTGTCAAGAACAAGAAACACCCGAAAAGAAAGACCCACACAGACAAAACACCACCAAGCAGTACGCTTAGTCATCCGAGACTACCCCATACATATGTGGCACTTTAACAAACCTCCCTTTGAGTGTAGAAAAGAACAGGACACAGGGGGAGATGGGAAGAAAGGAAAGGAGAGAAAGAGAGCAGTTGACTCAGCAGAAACAAAATCTGAAAAGATATTTCATTTAAAGACAGTTTTAGTAGGATTGGATTTCATGGTTATTTCCTGCAGTCCCCATGCTGTACGTGTCTGTGCTCTACCATATTGAATTTCCCTCTAATTACTTTGACAAAAATGCTGTCGGCTGTATTCCAGGTTCGTACTCAAACAATGAAGTTCAGCCATCACTAACTAAATAAACACCCTTCTTGGACAAGAAACAAAAGGGTTTACTGGAAATGTACAGAGATAGCAGTCACACAGCTGTGAGACAGAACAATCAGAAGTATTGTGATGGTCTAGCATTAAGTCACTAACGCCACTTAAAAGAAAAACAGCAAACACAGAAAGTGTCTTTTTTTCTTCTTGGTCTACGGTCAACAGGGAGGAGCAGCACTGAGGGATGAGGTTTTGGTGATTCATCGGATTTCTGCACCGTTTTCTCTGAAGCGTGTTGGCATGGGAACAACACACACACACACACACAAAAATTCAATCAGTTCTTTACAGTCAACAGAAATCATGTTCCCTGAGACTTATAAAGGTTTGTGTTAAAGGAATACTTCACCCTCAAAATGATCATTTTATATATTAATTACTGACCGAGCGTTATCTTGAATTCTTAAAGAAAATTGTTTTTATCGCATGCCTTCACGGTCAACGAAGAATTTAAAAAAAAATAAAAAAATCTTGATGAAATTAAATATACAACAAAAAAAACTGTATAGAAGTTTACAAATTCTCGAGCAATATACTGTAATCAAAGTTTATCCACTTTCCCGCTTGTGTCTCCCACAAGCGGGAGACTGTTGGTGCAAGACTGTTTTATTTAAGTGTTTTTGACATAGTTTTGCTGTTGTTAAATGCAGCCCTCATTTACGACTTTTCTCCTTTTTCGGGTTCTTCGTTCACCTTGGAGGCATGCGGGGAAAAAGTACATTTCCTTTGCAAATTCAAGACAACACAGGGTGATTAATTGATTTACAAATGGTCATTTTGTAGGTGATGCATTTCTTTAAGGACTATGCTAGATTAATCTCCTAAAATAATCTTTCCTATAACGCCGAAATCGAACACTTCCCATATCTATCCCAGTTTAACATTAATCTGAACCGATAAAAACCAGCCTGAGAATACACCCTGCTCAAGTGAGAAACAGGTAGATTGCACTTCTTTCCCTGCAAACTGCTAAATTCTTCTGTTTGGAGCAAAAAATGCTCGTGACAAGTCAATAACACGTGAACACGTACTACGGCATGATAACAGCTTGAAAGTGTTTATGACCACTCCACTGAACAACAGCCAACACGCTCACACATTCACACATTCACAGGAGTCACCAGCAGCCACCATGTTGCCTGCAGTGTCGGCATGTCTGCGTTTCCTGTCGTCTCTGAATTCCTTCATTCATCCAATCGTCTCTCATTCAGTTATTTTTCCTTAATAAGGATGCTTTAAGTAAAGATTCCTGTTATTTTACAGGACTTTATTGTAATCAATGATGTTAACTGCTGATTCTAAATCATGGTCAGCATCAATAATTTGGAGGGAAAAAAAGTAACTTCTTTTTGACTGCTTTCGCATAATATTTCTAAAAGCAGTGTTTTCACACTCCTAAGCAGAGTTTGTCCATTGCTGAGTCAGCATCGGCTCCAAGGAGCTCACTTTCCTCGGACACATTTTGTACAGAAGGACAACGCTGTGGGAAAGGATATTGCACACAGATGAGAATGGTGTCCAAATTAGCCCATCTGCAAAGTATATAGCCCACATACCTGAAAGACAATTCAAAGACATCAATGCAACTAGAGCGTGACAAATTGCTATCACGTCACCTGACCGGTCATTTCTTAGGCTGGCAGCCGCATTTAGCAAGCTTGTCGTCAGAGGTAGGAGCCCAGGTTGTAAACGTGCAACGGCATCTTTAAAGGGTGCACAGACGTATGAGCAGACTGAGAGACTATATCTGAGAAAAGCACGAGGACCAGTATGCGTGATTATCAATGAGACAGCTGACCATTGTGAAGAATCCTAAACACCACTACAACAACAAACACGCGTAAGAACCACACACAGGCACCATCTTCCAAACAAATACAAAGCCACCAGCAGAATGATTGTAAAATGGATTGGACAACAAGACTGAGCAGTTAATTAACATATTAATACATGCGAGTTAGATAGGATATCAAAATCCAACACATTTTTGTATTGTATTCATTCTTCAAGAAAAAAAGACAAGATCTTTCCACCATATACCTGTAAAATCAATTCCTAAAGCAAAGACAAAGCAACACAATGTATATCAAAATGTCCTAAACAAAAAGTTAATCTTTTGTTTAAAACATTCAATTTGGTGTATAGACATATAAGACATATCAATGACATTGTGGCGTCTGCAACTAGCCAAACCATCAACCAGTGTTTAGCAGCCGACCATCCTTCTAGCAAAAGACTGAGCAGCTGAGTGGTGTAATGACCTCTCTAAGTAGATTAGCCTGGACAATTGGACTGTACCATTCTACAACAGCAAGAGGGGTGTTGTCAGGAGCCTTTACATCTGCACCACGGCGGAGGAATGTCTTCACACCCCTGCAATTAACTATGGACTGGCCAGCATAGTATATATCATGCAGTTAGGAGGTGAGGAGGCAGTGTCCCTTGGTCAGATGAGCACTCACTATTGGGCGAATAAAATCCCTATTTTTCACACTTTCATTCAAATTAAAAGTCATTAAAATCAACCCGTTGTGTTTTGTGTGTGTGTGTGTGTGTAGCATGCAATCTTATATTCCAGAAGTATTTATGACAGTGCAGTTACCTCCCTAAGAATAACCACATGCTTGACCCACACAGAGGTTAACTGCAGAGGGGCTTGGTATGCTGCATGAGGTTTGAACGTCTGCATGTGTTGTATCAGATGTCAAACATTTCCATCCAAATACATACGTGCAAAAGCACTCACGGTATCGATGTCTACAGTACGCGACCTGATGGAAGAGCAGAGAGATGACGTGAACACGAGGGAGTTATCGCTCTCCTACATCCCATGCTTACTTCCTGCTTCCTGTCCTGTTGTCATGGAGATATTTTCAACAGCCAGCGAGCTGCTTGTATATAAATATCAACAGAAGCCTCCAAGAGCGTCCGCCTCGCCCTCCATGCGCTTAAATGTCAATTAGTTGGAATCAATGCATTGATGAAGAAATACAAGAACGTCGAGTGGGAGAAGAACTGTGGAGGTTTAGAGAGAGAGATATTTTGAATTTCAACATGTGACACATGGAACATTGAGTCCCTCACGCTGCACCACAGAGCCATTAAGAACATATTGGTACGCCTTTCATGCAGAGACCAACCTTCATTAATTCTACTAAAACCAAATCCATCACTGAGGAAGTGATATTTCACTCAAATGTAGAGCAAGAGTTTTGGGATAAACGCATGTCCCGCTGGAGAACGGTGAACCTGTGATCCTACTTTCTAATAAGGTTGATAAGATCTAACTAATGGTTTTACTGATATAACTAACATCATCAAACTATGTTATCAATAATATAATTCAATTCTTCTTCTTTTGGGGCCACACCTATTTAAAATGTAAATAATACATTTGGTATCTGAATTATACTGTTTTCTAAATATCTGTTAAAATATTCGAACAATGGCCATAAATTACACATTAATCCACAGTCAATACTGTGTTCAACATTTAACCGTGTAAGCAGACTTTTCCTTTTTATAGGTGTGACTGTGTGAAACAATGACCAACTGTCATAACTGCTCTTCATCACCTCTAAGCCAGACTTCTTTTTCAGTGACCCCCAGCTGCTTAATTATCCCATCCGTATCGGTGTATTCATAACATTTTTTCATCCAAACAGTGTCATGAACTGAATTCGTGCCCATTTTAAATGGCAGCTGAAACTCCTACTTTTGTCCCTCTACGCTAGGTTTTCCTGCAATTTCTGTTCGAAGAGTGTCAAATTGTTGAAGGGAACACTGGAGGCGGGCTGAGCATCTACAGTACAGTATGTCAATATCAGCGGAGGTGCTGTCACTGATTAGGCCAGCGAGTGCTCAGAAAAATAGATAACTTGTGAAATGCATCATCTATTCCTGGACGTGTGATTAGAAGCTTGACATTTAAGAAGTACTGGCAAACACATGAATGATTTAAAGCATTGGTAAAATATCAAACATATATGTAAACACCAACTTTGAGTAATAGACTACCACTCACATACTGTACTTACATACAAACATACAATAAAGATAACCTAAAACCTAGCTTGGCATTCACACATTGAGTGGTGCCAAGCTCCTCATGACGCAGATGGTACAAAGAAAGAGAGAGAGAGAGAGAGAGAGAGAGAGAGAGAGAGAGAAGCTGGAGGGAGGAAGGGAGAGAGCAGCAACGAGAGAGGTCTGTAGCACCTCTCTGTCTCTGCCCACACTAAAGCTGCCTATTATCTAATCCTTCACACCATGGATAGGGGGACAGGGGGTGGTCAGAGAGGCAGAGAAAGCAAGACATACAGTAGATGCCAGAAAAAGAGAGGCCACAAGTCATCAGCGCCGGAGTGGCGTTCTGCTGGCAGTAACACAAGGCATCATTGTACTGAAGGAGAGATGGAGCCTCTCTCTCTCTCTCTCTCTCTCTCTCTCTCCCTCTCTCTGCAAAGCCTGACTTGGCCCTACCACAGCCTGGAAATGACCAAACTATAACTTGTGCACTGGCCACTAAAGTGACTCTATCTCACCATGATTACAGGAGTGGGACAGAAAGTATAGAGGACATTTGGGCTCTAGACTGAAAGAGTCGGTTCACGCAGATTACCATCTCCAGAGGTATCGCCATGGTTGTTGTTGAGATGGTGAATTAGATGCTTCCACCCCAATACAATGGAGCTAAATGGAGTTTCACTTGTGATGCCAACAGCAACAATAGTTATCCCACAAACCAGGCTGTGAAGAGGTTTCACCTGAACTTTATAACAAACAAATAGTCCCTATTAAAACTGTTTACAGTGAGGTCTGTGGATCCAATGCATGGCAAAATATCACTAATGTCTTTCACCTGATTGTCCTGGACGTCTATACCTGAGAACATACACAGGACATCCATGCCAACAACGAGCTACTCTGGTAAAACAATCACAGACTCAGGTGCAACAAGGTGGTCCGAGTGCCAAATGGCACAGGAACATGTTTCACCATCTAAATAAATAACGTCTATTTTTGCATCTCATGGACATCTTTTGTCTTCTACAGTCTGTCTTCAGCAGTAAAGCAATGCTGTCAAAACCTGCGAGGGACCATTGAGAAAGCATGTCGACCCACACACCCTTCCAGTATCAGCTACGAACAGTCTTGTGATGCAGTCTGGTTGTTGCCCAAGCATACATTTTTAAGACTGCGGTTGGAATCTCAAACAGGGTTTGTGGGATCGGTTTCACCACATGGCAGGAGCATACCAGCCTGTATTCCACATCTGGAATACATACTACATCTGCCTGCCAGGCTAAAAACATTTCAAATCCTTCCAATCCTTCCGAGAAGAAGAAAATAACTGCAATAACTCTGGTCGCATAACTGTCTGTCTTGTGGACTAAAATTCTCCCATTGTCCAAATTAATGATTGATATGCATCACCGAGCAAGATAGAATCCCATGGTATGGATCGATACAGATAAACACACATGCACACGCTTGCCTGAGGCAGGAGAAACTGGCACCACAACAGAGAAAAGTATTGAGGTCGTCCTTGTGCTACTGCCTGTGCAAAAGGAAGACTTCTGAATGTCAGAGGTCAGTACCATGTGTATTCAGTTACATAGACAACAGAAGAAAAGAGAGGAGACAAGAGAGAAGGGTGAGGTGATATGGGCGAGCAGCGGAGAAAGAAAAGCAAAATATCTCCAGCGTTCCCATGACATTCCAGCTGCAGCAACTAACTTCAACAACAGGGTGTCAGAAAGAAGGGGGCAGCAGCACA